GTAGTCTCTCAATGAGGTGATGCATGTACAACTCAGAGGACAATGAAGATGAGAAGGTACCCAATGGTCAAAACTCCCTGGTCTTTGGAAGAGCACTTTCCACACAACATAAAGAAGCTTCTATCAGAGCCTCAGCTTTTCTGGGAAGTGAGAAAGTAGTGGTGATTTATTCAAGTGGTAACAAAGACACAGAAATTCTAGCTCAACAGAAACTGAGGTTTAGAGAACAACTGACAAATAAACAAGCAAATCAAGTGCTACAGAGATGAGAAGGCTGACAGCCAGGTTCTAACATTATCTACTTCACAAGGGGCAGGGAGGCAGGCTAATTCTTTGAGAAAGAATTAGGACAAGCAGTTCCAGGGAAGTAGAGGGGGCACTCTGACCCAGAAAATTCTTGAGTGTGGGGCAGAGATAATCACGCTGTAACATGGTTTAAAAGCCCACCTGTGACCTCCCCAGCCAAAAACAAGAACACAACCAGCACAGCTTACTTCAAGTTGAACCCAATTCACAGCGAATGCATGTGTGTCAAAAAACTGTGCTCCACAGGAATGTCAATAGATAAAAGTTTTAGGAAAATATTCCCAAGCCTTTCTTCTGAAGTGCCTCTGGCATGTGAGCCAATGCTTTTGAAGAGCCAGGATCCAGGCATCACAGGAGCGTAGGCAAGGAGGAATGATCTGCACCTCCAAGCTCCGGCAGCCTGGCGCCAGCATGGAGGACTCTGTGACCGCCAGGCCACACGTACAAATAAGCAAAGGCTTATTGTTCCGGAGCACCTCTCCTCCGCCTGGGCTGGGCTGACCTTTCCAAGCCCAGCAGCACACAGCTCCTAGGGAGGGGTCCAGTGTCAGCCACAGGCCTTTTCTTTCTAGGTGGAGTGTGGGGAATCTGGAATTTCAACCCCGGAACCTGACCTGCCTGAGGGGAGATGATAGGAACTCAGCAGCTGAGGTCCAAGGCACCTCCCAGGTGATTGTTAGTCCACAAGGTGGTGCCCGTGGGCAAGAACAATCCCTTCTGGCTTTCCCAGGCTTCCCCAGCCCCTAGAGGTGAGGATGTGTGCATGTGTGTGGGTGTATGTGCGCATGCGCCCATGGCACAGCCACTGCTATCCACTCAATTCAGACCTACGGTGCCCCTCGTCAGGTCTCCAAGGCTGTAAATCTGTATGTGAGGAGACTGCGCATGTTTCTCTTGTGGAAAGGGTGGTGGATTTGTTTTCATTTTCTTTGAGTTTACATGAGGTTTTGTTTAATCATTCATACATACACATTTCGTTTTACAACATTCATTACAACTGATTAATGTAATTAACTAATTGCAACGTTTGATCACCCTCTTATATAAGGAGGGTGAATCTGATGGCCTTTCAGTTCCTAGCCTGCCGTGTCATCTTCTACACTACCAGGTGTCCTTGAAAGACCAGTAGAAAAATAAGTCAAATTCATTGTCCCTGTGTCAGAATTGACTCACACTTGACTCTCTGTTGGGTTTCGGAAGATGTAAACAGCGTGGGAAGAGACTGCCCATCTTTCTGCCTTGGAGTAGCTGGTGCCTTTGAAACGTCTGAGAGTTTAAGCTTTCGTTACACCAACCATCATAAAGTCTGCTCTCACTCCCCCACTCCTGGTGGAAGAAGTGTTCCATGGAATCAGAAACTGCTCCTACCTGATGTTAGAATGTTTCTGCTTTTTATTTTGTTTTAGGTTTTATTGCAGTTTGGGCTAATGTTTACACAGTACATTCGTTTCCCATTCAATATTCTATACACATTTTGCTTTATAATGTTAACTGCAAGCCTCTTAGTGTAACAGCCCTCTTCCTGCTTCTCCCCTGAGTCTCTCATTCATATTCCAGTTTTCTCATTTTCACTTTCTGAGTTTGTGCTTTTTAATAATAAGAATGTGTTTAAGGACTGAAAACCAAAACTCCAAAACCAGCTTGATATTGTTCTAAGGGACCATGTGCATTAACAAGAAACGATACCAGGTAAAAGATTTCAAACTTGTGTGTGGCTAACTGAAGAGTTAAGACTTGGAATCGCTCTTCCCAGTTCACGGCTGTAGGTCCTGAGGGGACTCTCCAGCTCACTGACAAGTTCAAAGTCAAGTTTTGCTGGCCCACCTGTCATAGACAGATAACTGTATAAGAAGCAGACATCCTTCCCCAAGATCACAGAACAGAATCACATTAAACCCAGAAAAATCAAACTCAAATTCATTGCAGCTGAGTTGGAACTGAATCCTATCAGCCCCTCCGATGGGTGTCTGGGAGGATGGAAGCTGCATGGGATGAGATTGCCTGGCTTTCTCCCACAGGGCCACTGGTGGACAGTACTGCTGGAGGGGTGCAGCCTCTGGATTAGCAGCACAGCTCCCCAATAAAATATACCACCAGAGCTCCATAAGATTACATATGTAGAGATGAAATCCTTGGACTTTACATACAGCTTTTTCTCACATCAGCCAACTCATTGTTATTACATAATTGTAAGGTGTGAGATGCTGAACACTGTGACAGTGATGTGCCAATCGTGGTAATGGGCACCCATGGTGGACAGTGCTGGCTGGAGCTTCCCGATTAAATCAAGTCTGGAAGCAGGAGCGGCATCCACTTCCAAAATGGCTTGCCTCCAGAAACTCTAAGTATGAACAGTGCTCAGGCTGTTCGTTCATAGGGTCGCTATGAGTCGTCTACGACTCGACGGCACCAAACAACAACAACAAGAACAAGGTTTGAGAAGTTATTACCATCCTGGTATGAATGTTATTAGAACTACTGTTTTTATGAGAATTACCAGAAATACTTTTTTTTTTTGCGGGGGGGGGAGTAAATGTATTTCATATTCTAGAAATTTGTTCCAAACTAATTTACCCTGCAAAGGCCTGGCCCAAGTTGAGCTGGGTGGCTCCCTGGTCTTCCTAACTGGTATGAGGATTCCTTAGAGATACTTGAGTTTCATTCCAGATGACCACAATAAAGTGAGTCACATGAATTTCCTGAATTCTCTGGATTAAAAGCACATATAAAGTTATGTTCCCCTTACACTGTAGTCTATTGCTTGTAATAGCACAATGAAAAAGTTGGAAGGATTGTGAGAATTACCAAAATGTGACAGAGAGACAAGAAGTGAGCACACTGTTGTTGGAAAAACGGTAGCTACACACTTGTTCCACACGGGGTTGCCACAAACCTTCAGTTTGTGAAAAACACAGTCTCTTTTAAGTAAAATTAAGCAAAGTGAAATAAAACAAAATAGGCCTGTATGTTCTCCTTTGCCATCCCCAGGAATCACTTGGTTAAGTAGAAATTCTCCTACAGACAGGTCTGGTGAATGGTGGTGCCCCAAGGATATGTCTTACTTCTTAAGTCTCAGAACCTGAAAATGGGAACTCACTTTCACGTATGGTTAAGGATTTTGAGATGAAAACATCCTGGATTGTCCAGATGCCCTAAGCCGCTAGTGTCCTTGTAAAGAGCCACACACAGGAGAAAACAGAGAAGGTCATATGAGACTAAAGTGTTCACAAAACAAGAAATGCCAGTAGCCACTAGGAGTTGGAAGAGGTAAGGAAAGATAAGTCTCCGAGAGACTCTAGGAGGAATGAGTGCAGCCCTACTTGCACCTTGATTTTAGACATCTGGCCTCCAGATCTATGAGAAGCTAGATTTCTGTCATTCTAAGCCACCAACTTTGTAGTAACTTGTCACAGCAGCCCCAGAAAACTAATACACTCAATTATAGTCTCTACCCCTTCCAAATGGGTGACCTGAGCAAGTATCTTAACTGCCAAGAAATCTGAACACTCTCTCTCATTACCATTGAGCCTGACCAACTCACAGTTGGCCCTCCAGTGGGTTTTCAGAGGTGACTGTCCAGCTTTCTCCTGAGGAGCCACGAGCGGATTTGAATTGCCAGAGTGTTATGTTACCACCGTTGGGTTAGCAGCACAACTCCCCACCTCCTTGTGGTTGTGTGCCAGTGAGTCGGAACTGACCAATTGCTAACCCTCCAGCGAGTTTTCAGAGGCAGCAAAACACATGAGAGGAGGCTGCCTATATTCTCCCATGGAGCAGCTGGTGGATTTGAACCATGTGCCTTTGGGACTGCAGTACAGCTTCTTACCACTACGCAAAACACAGCTTCCACCCACCCTACTAGGCTAACAGCGTTCCCGGTTCAGAAACGGTCTCCTCATTTACACAATTGTGTAAATGGTATTTTCCTTAAAGAGGCAAGTTAGTGTATACCTAAAGAAGTCCCCTACCCTCTACCTCTGATCCTCACACGCCAGCCCTGTCCTTTCAGTCCCTTACACAAGCGAAGGGTCACTAATCAGGCCTGAGTGACTGCAGTCCCCTCTGTGTTCCCCAACTGTGTGTGTGCAGAACCACTGTCTCATGCCACAGGTTCAACGCAGAGGGTTTCCTCAGAGCAGCATTGCCCTGCTCCCAGTGCAAAGGCTTCCTATGCTTATGACCCATTCCTGACCCTCACTGGACGTGCCATGATTGGAAATTACCTTGTGCACTTGCACTGGCCCAATGGGTACACATTCTTCAAGGGTGGTGGCTTTATCTGATTATTGCCCTCAACCCTAGCATGATGTCTATGCTACTACAGGATGAACAGATGGGCACACAGATGCATGGACAGATGGGAGAATCGCTGGAGGGTAGGTGAATGGATAAGCACATGCACTTGGATAGTTGGTTATATATATATAGGTGAGTGGATAAATCGGTAGATAGATGGGTAGATGCATGGAGAGATGAACAGACATATGGTCTGGTGAGGAGATGGATGAGTAAGTGGATGAAGGGACAGATGGATAAAAGAAGGGCTGGCTGGAAACAAGCAGGATCTCAATTAACACTCATTTCCTTTAATCTGTTTGTCTCTCACTTTATACTGCACATAGATGACCCTTACGCCCACCCTACAAACTACACCTCCACCCATTACCACCACTAGTGACCCTTCCTGGACTCACCTGAGAAATCGCATCTCCTCATCCTTCTTCTCATCTTCACTGATGATCTTGGAGGTGGTGATGCTCACCTCCACGCCGTCCACCACAAACTTGCGTGTCCGCTTGAGGGTCTTCTTGTGTAGCCTGGAATCCTGGCGGGGTAAAATCATTAGGCAAAGCCCAACAGTTTAGCTGAGAATCCACAGTGGATCCAGGGAGAGTCCCACAGCCTTCCTGTCCACCTCTGAGACTCAGCCCAGTCCAGGGAGGATGTGGTGGTCCATCGGCCCCCTCTTGCTTCTCAATGTGGAATCTCAAGTGTACCCCCTTTCCTCTCTCTGTTGGACTTTGAATGCTGCCCTAGTGCCTCCCCACTTGCTGCTGGCCCCCCTCACCCCAGGCTGGGGCAGCAGAAAGAGCTGACTCACCACTTACATCTCCTGTGACCTAGGCAAGTCCCTTGTTGGGCCTGAGTCTCGGTTGCCTCATCAGTCAAAAGAGACTAATAACAGCTCTTGCCCCACCAGGTGGTTACGAGAAGACACTGGGATGACACATGGGGGTCACATGGTGCAGCACCTGCTTGTGGCAAGTGTTACCTGATGGTTATCATTCCAGAACCAGAACCTCCTGACAGCAGTGCCAAGATCCAAAGTGGAAAATCATTTTGCAACTGATGTGGCAGAAAGCCTGGCCTGACCTGAACTCCTTCCTGGACTTGCTACAACATCACTCACAACGTTTAGCTTTGACAGGGAGCAGCTGTGCATTTCCCACGTGCTGTTTACAAACGGTCTCTGGACTCCTGGAGCGCTGACACAATCTAAGGCACCCTTCAGAACTCTGATTTGGGTGACCTGCGGAATTCTGTGTTTTCAAAACTCATTGGTGGGTTAGCTGACTGCTTCTCCTTCTTTCTCTCCTTTCAACTAGCAGGTATTTTCCCCCCTCCTCCAGTATTTACTGTGTGGTTTTAATTGATAAGATGATGAAAGGAGAAAAAAAAAAACCAAGTCACAGCACTTTCTCTAAAAGTCAGCCCCAGCTGGAGAACGAAGCCTGGTCTGGCCACAGTCAAAAGGCCAATGATGGAATGAGGGACATTCTAGAATCTGTTGAAGTGTATGGGAAAAGGAGGCAACCCCATAGCCAATGGGAGGGTGTAGGAGTGTGGCAGAGGGCTGCAGCTTTTGCTGGGAAGGCATGTGGAGTAAATAACATGGAGTTAGTCTGCCCAGCTTCTTCATGGGCCAGATCCCGGCTTCACTCTGAAGCCTCTGTCGCCCTCACCTGTACACTGGAAGATGAAATGCCTAACAGGACTTGTCGCAGTCACAACGGCTGTTGTTGTCGACGTTGCTACTCACACTCCAGAAAGGCCACTAGGCCCAGCAGAAAGGATGAGCCTTTTCCTATGATTGAGTTTATTGGCCATCAAGTGTTCCTACAGTCTGACCACTGAAAGGTCCAAGGAGAAAGGCTTCTACGTTTAAAATTCTCTCTCCTAAATTTTGCCAAGGTGTTCAATTAAACTCTAAAATGTAAACCCATAACAACTCCTTATATTACCAAGTCTTATACTGAACACAATATGGAGAGTAAGCTATGAATCAAATTATTGCTATGAGCTGCCATCAGGATGTTCCCTAATTTATGGCAATGTTGTGCGTAATGAGATCAGACTGTTAGAACCCAAAGGGTTTTCAGAAGCAGATTGCCAGGCCTTTCCTCCTGGTCCATCTTAGTCTAGAAGAGCCACTGAACCTTACTCAGCATCACAGAGATATGCACTCTCCACTCTCAGACAGTAGGTGGCTGCGTATGAGGAATAATGGCTGGAAATCAAATCCAGGTATCATATGTAAAAGATTGAGAACTCTATTATGGAACTATCACAGTCCCCAGTGTAAGTTTAAGTTTAAATTCCTTAAAGAAAAAGTAATCCTCATAAACCACCTAAAATGGGAGGAAGATGTAAAATGCTTGGCAACCTGGGCAATAGAACCTCTTACAAGGCAGTTCCATGTTTCCGGTGAAAGGGGTGGAATTACCTTAATGGACAGAGAGCCGGTCTCTCTATTGAGGGACAGGTCAGCGGAGAGAGAGGTGCTGTAGTCCATGCTCTCGGAGGTGGAGAGGCTGCCACAGTCTGAGTTCCTCTTGGACAGGTCTGGAGCCACTTGAGTGGGGGGCTCCAGGTTGCCATTGGCCAACTTCTCCCCACCCAAGGTCTCCAGGGCGCTGCTGTTGGGCCGGCTCTGGCTTGTCTTTTGGGAATTACTGGCTGATGCACTGAGGTCCTCCCAGTCAGTGACTTGCTTCTCCTTGGATAGCTGAATCCTGGCATCCATCGACACCGGCCGGGACTTCCGGATGGGTGCTGGCACAGTTAGGCCACTGTCATTTCCAGGAGCTACTTCTGGGGGGCTGTTGGTTTGGAGGGATTTGTTTCCAGTGGGCTGGTTGCAGGGCCCATTCACATGGTCCTGAGGCTGGCTGGGGGTTGGCGAAGTAGGTGATTCCTTGAGAGGCTTGTCAGCATCGAGCTGATTTACCTCAGAATAGTCCTGAGTGTGGTTCCCCAGAGGCTAGAAGAATTAAAAAAAAAGCCATTTAAAGCCATGTTGCTCCACATTCATAGTGACCGTAAGAGATACAGCAAAGTTGGAAAGTTAGACACCACCAAGAAGATGTGGGTTAGTGCCAGGGGAGTAACAAAGGTGGCAGTCTCCAATAAACCACAGTCCCCACCATTCCCTATTGCCTACCCAACAAGGAAATGACTACTTGTTTAAAGGAATAGTAATCTGTTTGTCTCTAATCTCAGCTTCATTTAATAGCTATTATTTATAGTGAGAGCTCTGGGGGCCTAATGGTAAAGCTGTATATCCAAAGGCATGTGGTTTGACTTCATCAGTTCTCCCTCCTCTGCTTCTGAAAACTCACTGGAGGGTCAACTACTGGTTGGTTCTGAATCAACAGTAAACAATAACAACAGGGTGCTCTCAATGGTACACAACAACATTTATAGTAGGTGGTCTGCTGAGCAAGAATTTGTGCTGCCAACCCAAAGGCAGGAGAAAGATGGGCCATCTCCTCGTTTGATTCACTGCCTCTGAAAACCTACTGGAGGGTCATCTATGGGTTTTTTCTAATTCAATAGCACATACCAAAATTTATCCTAGGAAGAGTACGTGCGTATCACAAATGGTTAGTGTTCAGTGGCTAACAGAAAGGCTGGAGGTTGAAATCCACTCAGAGATGAAAACCCTGTAGGGCACAGCTTCTCTGACACATACAGGGCAGCCAGAGCTGACTGCATGACTGTCAACTGGCTGGCTATGTTCCTTCTAGGAGTAGATGTCACTGCGGTCAGCAGGATAGCTCAGGCCTCATCTAGGCCGCAGCCCAATGTGACAATGAGGGAGACTGGGGTCCACTGTGGTCAGGTCTTCCAATTCTTAAGAGAAGCTAAAAATCTGGGGTTTTGGTTTTATTTTTGTTTTTACTGACATCTCAAGATATTTAGATGGTAACTAAATCCAAAATCTTAACAGTTTTATAAGGGGCCAAACAAAACCTATTTGGGGGCTGGATTCAATCTGCAAATGGGTTACAAATATGCCAAGACTGGATCCCCCAGTCCTTAGGGCTGCCAGATGGAGCCTGGCTGGGGTGGCTATGCCCCTTGGCCTGCATGCTTAATTCTGTGCGGGCTCCCTCACCTGTCCCAAAGTGTGGTCAAAACAGTCTCACTTTGTGGTTCAACGTGAAAAATGCTTGGGGAGCCCTGTATTACCTGTCAGCTCTTTAAAAACTTCCTGGAAACTTCTGATCAACATTCCCTTCCTGTGTCCTGAACCATAACACATGTCTCAGCGTCTAGAATCCTGAGCTTCCCCAGATTGTACCCCTCCCTACCAGCCCCCGTTTCTCTTGGTCTTACAGAGGTGGTATCCACGGAGTCTTCTTCCTCCCCCTCATCACGGCCGTCCTCAATCTCCTCCATCACTTCGGCCTTGGCTTCTGCCACCAGTTCCCGGAGAGCCTTGTTACTGTTGATGCTTCTCACGAAGGGGTGCTGAGGGGGCAAGGCACACTGGGTCAGAACCGCTTTGGGGTGGGGTGTGGAGTCAAAACCTGCAGTTGATCCGCTGGGCTGAGGCCAGCCAGCTCCCAGGGGAATGTGAACATAGCCTTTGTAAGAGAAACTCAAAGGCAGTTTTGAAAATCTTGTGTATGGTGCAGTGTGAATCCTGGCTCTGTCACTTTATGGGCTGTGTGACACTGAGCAGGTTATTTAACCTCTCTGAGCTGTCTGGAGTGGAGATAATCATACAGATCTAGGAGGAGGACATGACAATTAAATAATGAAGAGGGAAGTGCTTAGTTCAAAGCAAAGGCTCAAGCAACATTTGTGTCTTTGTTTATTTTTGGTTTTTTTAAAGGCTTTAATGAATGGTTCTTAAAACACACTATTTTTACATTTTACAGATAGTTCAGTTACTAACAAAAAGTTTGGTGACGGTGAGCTTTGGTGGCCTAGTAGCAAGAAGCTGCACTGCAATCCCAGAGGTGCTGGAGAAGAAGGGACAAATTCCTCCTGTTCCAGTCAGATCTGATTTGATGGTACACACACAGAAAATAATTAAAAAAAAAAGTTTGGTGGCTTGAATCTACCCTGAGATACCTCAGAAGAAATACGTTGAGATCTACTTTTGATAAACAGGCTACTGGAAACCCTATGGAGCACCAGAGCACCGTTATACTTGGACACACACAAAGCTGTCATAAGCCAGAACTGAGTTCACAGCAAATGGTCACAGTGTGCCGTATGACCCAGCTATTGCACTACTTGGAATATACCCTGAGAATATGTGAACTGAGGCACAAACTGAGATTTGCACACCAATGTTCATAACAGCATTATTCACCATCGCAAGAACACAATAATAGCCCAAATGTACAACCACAAACAAATGGACTGAGAAATTATGGTACATTCACACAATGGAAATCTATGCAACATCCAAGAGCAATGATTTTGTAAATTATTACCTAACTTGGGAGGGACTGGAGAGCATAATGCTGAGTGAATTAAATCAGTCCTACAAAGATAAATATTGTATAAAATCATCATTGTAGAATGACTCTAAGAATCCAAGAGGGCTGGGAGAGGCTGGAAGCAGAGGGATGAGGATGTGCAGGAGGTAAGGAGATTAATCATCAGGTTGTACAATTTGATGGGTGGGCGGGTAAGGGAAATTGAAAGAATTTGTTCAGATTTGTATTCGAATTTTGTAAATAAACTAGTAGAAAATTTTAAAAAATCTCAAAAAAAGATAAAATAAAGTGCATTCATCTTAAAAAAATGGTTACAGTGTATTCTGCATTTCAATGAAGAATTACATACATATATAAAGTTCATAAATCTTAAACATAGCTAAATGACTTCTAAAAGTATTAATAAAAGACAAATTAAGAGGAAATCAATATTTTTCTATCATTCTTTTTTTTTTTTTAAAAAAAAAAAAACCAAACCCTTTCAATTATTAGGGAGCTCTGGTGGCCTAGTGGCAAGAATCTGCACTGCAATCCCAGAGGTACGCAGTTCAAATCCAGCAGATGCCCTGCTGAAGAAGGGGTGGGGGGCAATTTTCTCCTGTACCAGTCAGATCTGTTTTGATGGTACACACACACAAAAAATAGTAAAAATGAAAATAAACAAACACAAACTTTCAATTAAAGGATTATGCAGTAGGCATAGAACAAATGATGTTATTTTCTTTTTCATTTTTAAAAAATATGTTTTACTTTTTAGAGCAGATGAAGATTTAAAGAAAAAACTGATCAAAAAGTACAGCCTTCTGTGTGCCCACATCGTTCTCCTCCTCACTGTTCAATGTTTGTCTGCTAATTCTTTGCATTTGCCAGTACATTTGTTTTGATAACCTTACACACTTGTTTTGATGACCTTGCACACACACACACACACACACACACACACACACACTCACACACACACACCTCTGGATGCAGACACAGTTCCATCTCTAAATCTGTCACGAAGCTAAATCTGTATGTTAAGTTGAATCTGATAGATACTGTTGTTGATTACCTTCAAGTCGAGCACAATACATAGAGACCCAATGAACAAAAGGCCTGAAGCCCCTCTACAACTATCAACATTTATCCAAGTTCATAGAGTTTCCAGAGGCATTTTGTTTAGGAAGTGGATGCAACTCCTGCTTCCAAACCTGTCATAATAAGTACTAGTCTGTCAAATATTTGTCTCAGGAGATAGACTATTAGGAGCTCTGTTGGCCTAGTGGTAAGGAGCTGTGCTGCCAACCCAAAGATACACAGTTCAAATCTACCAGGTGCTCTGAGGGAGAAAGATGAACAGTCTCCTCTCGATTTACCACCTTTGAAAACGTGTTGTAGGGTCAGCTATGAGGCAGTTCCGACTCAATGCACGTAAAAACAAATATAGTACATAGTGTACCTTTTCTATGCATAAAAATACCCATCAAGTAAAAGTTTCCAGATGTAAAAAAAAAAAAAAAAAGTTTCCAGATGTGCAAAGACATCTTTAACATAAAAATACAGTACCAATACTAACATTTCCATACCACTGCAAAATAGTACCCATTTGTTGTTATGAATCATTGTATACATCTCAATTTTTTTTAATATACAAGGCTGGTCCCTAACTGCAGCTTATCTGTAAATTGGATGTTCATTTCCCAAGCACTACCTGTTACTGATTGCCTTGAAGTCAATCTTCTCTCCCTACAGCCTCCTGTCTCCCCAAAACCTGGTTCTGCTCTGCTTACTGCATCTAAGCAGAACTATACAGCATGCAGTTTTTGGTACATTCTGTTGCTAAATGCCATCAAGCTGAGTCCATATGTGTAGAGCAGAACTGCTTGAGAGGCTGTCACCTTCCAGAAGCAGATCACCAGGCCTGCCTTCCAAAGCCCCTCGGGGTGGGTTTGAACTGCCAACATTTTGGCTAATAGTGGAGTGTTTAACAGTTTAAGCCACTCAGGGACTCCTTGGCATCCTTTACTCCACATAAAGACTGCCAGAGTCACCTGTGTTGCTGGGTACACTGGTAATTTGTTCTTTTTTTCACTCCGGTGCGTACCCCGCGGCATGATGCGGCACACTTAATCTACCCATTCTCCTGTTGCTGGGTATCTGTCTTAGTCCTGACTTTTGGCAACTTTAAATAAAGAGGTTATAAACATTCTTGTATTATGTCTCTTGGTGAACTTAGGGATTTAATTTTAAGACACACACACACACACACACACACACACACACACACACACAAAATCCCTGGAGACAGAATACTGAATGCTCTGCTCCTCTTTACTCCATAGTATCACATTTAATTCACTTAGAAGTGAACATGCTTTTAGACATTTTACAAAGTGCCAACCAAGCCTCTTAAGGCCTCGCAGCACGAGTCGCTGCTGAGTGAGCTCCCGCTCACGGCAGGCCGGTGTGTGTCAGAGGGGAACTGTGCTCCACAGGGGAACTGTGCTCCCCAGGCTTTGCAATAGCTGATTCACGAGAAGTGGACTGTCAGGACTTCCTTGTGAGGCCTCTGTGGGCAGACCTGAACTGCCAGCCTTTTGGTCAGTAGAAGTCTTAATTTTCTACACCACCGAGGAACTCCTTCCTAAAGCCTCCCCCAAAAATTCAAAACCAAAGTCAAAACCCAAACTCGCTGCCCGCTACCACTGCATTGGTTCCAACTCATAGCAGCCTGCCATCGGGATGTGGAGCTGACCAGCTTCCCGGGAGCCTGCTGTCTTTCTCCCGTGGAGAGGTGAATCAGAAACGCCACCTTTCAGGTAGCAGCCCGATACTTCTTTTCTGAGGCCTCTGCAAACTCCACTCAGCTCACTGGTGTCAAGTCAGAATCAATTCCTAGCGGATCCTCCAGCTGCTTTTTAGAGGCTGTAAACTGCATGGAAAGAGACTGCCTGTCTTTCTCCCATGGAGCAGCTAATGGATTTGAACTGCCAGTGAGGTGGTGCCTTTGGGTCATTGGAGCAACTTCCTACAGACTGCAGCCCCAGGACTCCCTCAGCAGATGTTAAACAATGAGATCCTGTGGGGAAGCAACTTATCCTAAGCACCAAGGTGTGGACAGGGTCTGGGATTCTTCAATTCACCACTTACTCAGAGTTCTCTGGAAGGAATATTGTGGGTGGGACAGATGTCACTCAGCTGGAATTTGTTCACTGGAAAATTTACAGGAAGACTGATGACATTCACACCAGTTTTGCTATCAGAAAACTTATCAGCAGAGGAATAGTGTCTACTGTTTCGGGGATTTCTGGGAAAGTATTTAAGCTACTAAAAAGAAAATATTTTTCTAGCACCTTGAAGACCCATTTACAACTGATTCGCTCACCACCAATCATTCTTATATTTGTTCATTTGAAACAGCTTGATTAGGGAAGGGTACCAGGCTACACACCACTTCACTCGTTCAAGCAAAAGCTTCACTTCTGAGAGTCTGACCATTAAGATTTTCCCAGCTAATTTGACTTTCTTTAGTTAGTACAAACTAGCAAAGATTTTACAAAATTTAAGCAATTCCCTCCTCAGGCACATATGGAGGCCAGCAACGGGCCAGGGCTGAAAGAAGGCTGAGCAATGAGGCAGAGTTCCAGCTCTCGGGGGGCTTCCAACGGAGTGGCAGAGACCGTGCTGCAGCAAGTAACTAATGATTAACAAAGATGACTGCAGATTCTGTCAACCGGAGAGAGACCAAAAAACAAGAGTCTGTATAGGTGTCAGCAACTCAGGTGCGAGGTTTCAGAGGCCATTCTGAGGAGGTAGCATCTTAGCAAGGACCTGAAGGATGTGAAGGGGCCAGTCAGGAAAAGAGGTGAGCACAGAAGAATCCAAGTGGAAGGAGCAACAGATTCAAAGGCCTGAGGGGGTACTGAGCTTCCTATATTAGAGGAATGGCCAGAGGCCCTGGGTGTTGAAGCAAACAATATAAGGAAGGGAGAAAAGAAAAAAAAAAATCAAGCAAATCGCTGACTCACAGCGAAC